GCTCCTGAATCCCCAGCAGAGGTGCAGAGCGCAGCTCCTGAATCCACGGAAGAGGTGGAGAGCGCAGCTGCGGACCAGGCGGATGGGGCTCGTACCAGCGAGGAGGGTGAGGGTACTGCTGGGAACCAGAGCTGCCTGGAGAGTCCTGAACTAGAAGAAAGCCCCCCCTTAGGCTCAGAGCCCTCTGCCCAGCAGGATTCACCAGAAGAAACCACCGAGGTCACCGCAGAAGGCGCCTCACCCCAAGGCTGATCCGCAAAACTCCAGAGTTGCTTTTGTATTTTTAGCAACCTTAGACCTTCTTTCTAGAATTTAATATACCTTAAAGAATTTGGCTTTCACTAATAAATGTTTGGATTGGGATTTGGTATTTTACATGTCTTAATAGTTTTCTACCCTCTAAGATCAGGCTGTGTAAAGAGCTTAAACAGTATTAACTTTGGATTTAAATTTTACGTTTTAGAAATTAAGGTATCCATGCAGCCTGTAGTCCCTTTGATTTTTACTCTACCTTTCTCTTTATTATATGTAAGACCGGATTATTGAGTTTGATATGAACTCATTTAAATAAAATTAGAAAATCTTAACTGTGTCTATTCTTTCTTCTTGTTGGGGGAGGGGGACTTGTGGTTGGGAAAAGTATGACCATGACCCAGGCTGGCAACCTTGCTCAGTCATTGAACTGCAATCACACCAGGCCTATGTGTTTCTATATTCACAATGTACACTGCATTACCAATTAACAGCCTCACTAACATCCTCCCACGGAGAAACCAAGCTTTATAGCATTACTGCGGGAAGAGCTCTGCCCTTCCCCTGGCTGTTACATAAGGGGGCAGAGGATGGGAGGGGGTGCCCAGCTTTTCTGGTTCAGTGCAGTGTTCACTGAGGATTTACACACCCTGCCAGGACTCATTCGTGCACGAAGGCATGCAGCAAACATTCAGAGTGCCTTCAGCCCACCAGCCGCCGTTTATAGCTTGGAGCGAGACTAGATAATAAGATAGATAAAATTATATGTAGGGATTAGGAAGAGTTTGCAAGTGTCAGTTGGGAGTGAAATTGTCACTTTAGATATGGCTGTAAAAACAAGCCTTTGTTTTATTTTTTTATTTTTTTTAGGTTTCTTTCTTTTTTAATTAATTAATTAATTAGTTTGTTTATGAAAATTTCCACTTCCTCCCCTCCTCCCCATACCCTCCCATTCCCCCTACTCTCTCTCCCCCCCCCCCCCTCCCTCTCCTCCTCCCTCTCCAGTCCAAAGAGCAGTCAGGGTTTCCTGCCCTGTGGGAAGTTCAAGTTCCTCCCCCCCCCAGGTCCAGGAAGGTGAGCATCCAAACAGACTAGGATCCCAGAAAGCCAGCACATGCAGACGAAACAAGACCCAGTGCCATTGTCAATGGCTTCTCAGTCAGCCCCCATGTCAGCCACATTCAGAGAATCCGGTTTGATCACATGCTCGTTCAGTCCCAGTCCAGCTGGCCTTTGTGAGCTCTCATTCGATCAGTCCCCTTGTATCAGTGGGTGAACGCACCCCTCGCGGTCCTGATTTCCTTTTTCATGTTCTCCCTCCTTCTGCTCTTCATTTGGACCTTGGGGGGCTCAGTCCAGTGCTCCAATGTGGGTCTCCGTCTCTATCGCCATCCATCTTCGGATGAAGGTTCCCTCTGGTCCTGCCTATCTTGCTCACGTTTTCCCTCCTTCTGCTTCTCATTTGGATCTAGGGAGTTAAGTCCAGTGTTCCAATATGTGTCTCTGTCTCTATCTCCATCCATCGCCAGATGAAGGTTCTCTCTGGATAGAATTCCTCAGCACTGAAACAGGGACAGCTGGTATTCCAAGGACCCAGGAGACAAAAGGGCAGCGGCAGTGGGGGCAGGGAGGAGTCTCGTGGAACACCGAAGACCCTGCCACAGAAGCTGAGGGGGGAGGTGCTGTGCTCTCTTCCGGGACAGAAGGCTCCGGGCGAGCACCCACTCACCTCTCTGGACTGAACTCCTCAGCACTCCAAGTCTTTGTTTTATGAGACAGTCCTTGCCTCAAACTCACTATATAGCTCCAAGGCTAGCCTTTAACTTCTAATCCCCCTGCTTCAGTGTCCTAAGCGCTAAATTTATAGATGTGTGCCCCCACACCCAATCAGAGCAAGACTTTTTACAAAGGTGTCTTTTAATAAAGACTGATGGTTCTGGAGAGGACGTCATGCCAGGTAGGGGAACAGGAAAGCACACATGATCTGCAGCAAAGCATGCTGGGACGACCCAGAATTTTGAGGTGGTCCGTATGAGTGAAGAGGAGTCAGAAGGAGGGAGAATAACTGGAGCCGTCTGAGAAAAGAAAGGGGGGGGTGAAGCCAGGCATAATGATGCCTGCGTATTTTACCCCAGCACTCAGAGACTGAGGATGGAAGTTCATGAGTTCGAGGTCAGCTTTAGCTAAATACATAGAAGATCCTTGTTTCAAGAGAGAAGACGGGTGGGGTAGGGGGAGATGGCCTAGATAACACGGAGTTATGCAAGATTTGGGGCATGTGGCCGCTGATGACATTCTGGTTTGATCCCCTTAACTGGGAGCATTCGTTCCCAGCTGCTACGACTGTTCACATCCTTCCCCAGCCCCCACCCGGCCTGGCCCTCACTCCAGTCAGCTTATAACCATGACTGGCATCAGAGCAGCATGGAGTGGGGGCAGCTGAAGGACCGTGCTCCAGGGCTCTAGTGGTTCAGAACTGATGCTGATCCCTGGGAGAGACTCTCTCTTGCTTCCTACTCTCTCCTGCTTCCCTCTTGCTACTCTCCAGAGAACATTCTTCCAGAGACAGTGCTCGGAACATCTGCATCCAGGGAATTTCACCTAGGATGATTAGGTAAAACCGTCCAGAGTAGGAAGAACTAGATGGATGAAATCACCAGACTGAGCAGGTGATGACTGTGGGATTTGAGAGGCAGAGACACAGAAACTAAAGGGCTTAATCCGACTCTGCAGAAAGAATGACACCTTGTATTTGCCTCTAATTTGTCTCAGTCTCAGTATCAATTCTTCAGGAGATAGATAAATCTAACACTAGTGGGTAGATTAGAGGTGCTCACTAATCACCAGTCCTCTGAGATGAAACAGAAGTGCCTCTTAGTGCACTCACACTCAGGGATACACTCCTTAGTGAATTCACACTCAGAAATACACTCCTTAATGAATTAACACTCAGAGGGACACTCCTTAGTGAATTCACACTCAAGGTTACACTCCTTAGTGCACTCACACTCAGGGATACCCTCCTGAGTGCACTAATACTCACGGATACACTCCTTGCTGCACTCACACTCAGGGATACATTCCTTAGTGCAGTCAGGCTTGGGGATACACTCCTAAGTGCTCAAGTGCTCTCAAACTCAAGGATTCCCTCCTGAGTGCACTCACACTCAAGGATACACTCCTTAGTGCACTCACACTCAGGGACACACTCCTTGGTGCACTCACATTCAGGGATACCCTCCTGGATGCACTCACACTCAGGGATACACTCCTTGGTCTGCACATATACAGAGAAACACTCCTTCGTTCACTCACACACACATACACACAGAAGCAGTGCACACAAGTCAGTGCTTTATTTTATAATTAATTTATTTTTGTCATTATTGTTTTTGAGATAGGGTTTCTCTGTGTAGTCTCGGCTGTCCTGGAACTCACGCTGTACACCAGGCTGGCCTTGAACTCAGAGACCCTCCTGCCTCCATCTTCAGAATGCTGGGACTAAAGGCGTGCGCCACCACTGCCCAGCTCTTTGTACTCTTTTAGTTGGGGTAGTTTCTGTTGCAAAGGTAAGACACTGACTGACGATGATTCAGGGACAGAGGCCATCATCACACAACTAGGAGTCTAGGACTGGTTTCTGTGACTCAGTCGTCAAGAACTGGGATGTTTACCATCAAGCTTTCAATCAAGAATGTTTGGCAACTGGGCCTGGAGAGATGGTTCAGAGGTGAAGAGCACATATTGTTCTTGCAGAGGACCTGAGTTCTATCCCCAGCACCCACATATGGCATTTCACAGCTGCCTGTAACTCCAGTGTCAGGGGATCTGACATCCCTCTGTTCCCACTCACATGCAGACAGATACACATATACATACATACATACATAAGAATAATAAAATATAAAGCCAGGTGGTGGTGGCACACACCTTTAGTCCCAGCATCTGGGAGGCAAAGGCAGGTGGATCTCTATGAGTTTGAGACCAGCCTGGTCTACAGAGTAAGTTCTAGGACAGCCTAGGGTACAAAAAGAAATCCTGTCTTGAAAGAACAAAAATAAATAATAAATAAATTATATATATACACACACACACACACACATGAATGTTTGGCAAGCCAGGCACGGTGGCACAAGCCTTTAATCCCAGCACTTGGGAGGCAGAGGCTACAGACTCTCTTTGAGTTCCAGGCCAGCCAGTACTTTGGGCATAGCAAGTCTTCCTCATAGTAACAGGACACATCACCAGGTCCTGTTTACAACAAGAAGTTCTCTTGTCTTAGAAAGCAAACCTTAAAGGCAGAATTCTCTTTTCAATACTCTATTATAGAAAAACCTCAGACAAAAGAGGAATAGTGTAATAAACTTCGTGTGCCCTACACGAAGCTTTACCACCTGGAAACTTGCGGTAAACCTTGTGTTCATACTTCCCCCATTGCCTTCAACCGCCCTGTCTTGGGACCTGCCTGTAGCTAATACCAGATATGAAGGTGGCTCTACAGTCAAAGCTACAAAACGAAACCTATGTATGTAACAGGATAATGAGAATTCGGCTAGGGATGGTTGCATTCAATCATCAGCACCATACAAAGGGCAGCAATTAAATGTAGGTCCACTGAGGCTCTTTCCCAGAGACCCACTTCCTCCGGAGAGGCTATACAGCCTCTCACCGACCAGAGACCAAGTGTACAAACAGAAGCTTGTAAGAGACATTTCACAAGCTGAAGCCCCTCGTAGGTTAGCTGAAAGATTCGATCACTGACGAGATAAATACTAACACTAACAAGTTAGTATAATTTTTTTTTAATTTATTTATTTATTATGTATACAATAGTCTGTCTGTGTGTATGTCTGCAAGTCAGAAGAGGGCACCAGGCCTCATTACAGATGGTTGTGAGCCACCATGTGGTTGCTGGGAATTGAACTCAGGACCTTTGGAAGAGCAGGCAATGCTCTTAACCATGGAGCCTTCTCTCCAGCCCTATAATGTTATTTGCAGTGTTGGCTGATGGAGGAGGGTTATCTGTCTATTGTGTTATTTTCATTGGTCAATAAAGAGACTGCCTTGGCCCTTTGATAGGACAGAAAATTAGGTAGGCGGAGTAAACAGAATAGAATGCTGGGAAGAGGGCAATGAGGCAGACGCCATGGAGCCAGCCACTAGGTCAGACATGCTGAATCTTTTCCGGTAAGCCACTACCTCGTGGTGCTACCATGAGATTATTAGAAATGGGTTAATATCAAGATGTGAGAGTTAGCCAGTAACTAACTCTCTAGAGATAATGGGCCAGGCAGTATTTAAATGAATACAACTTATGTGTTATTATTTCTGGGGC